CCACTAAGAGTATTACCAACATGTCAAGATAATAAATGGTGGACAGGAAAAGATTTTATCTAAAGGAATTGGTTTTATTATTTAATTTTTCTGTACTACTGCAAATATCTGAGAAGTTTTACAGTAAGAAAATTTTATATCACATCTTTAAATATAAAATCCAAAACAATATGGAGAACTTTTAGCAAAGAAACAACAATGTTCAAATGTATAGTAGAAAATGAAGGTCTAGTCCAAATACAAAACACCATGTAAATATACTATGGACATCCACCCAAGAATGGAGGCCCATTACATCATATTTGCAGACAAAAAAATGTGCTACCTCATATAACTCTTGAAAAATATAAAAAGAAAATGGTAACCATTTTAATAGGTGATCATTCCTAGTATAAGAACAGATGAGTATGCACTAATAAAATATTAGTCAGGATATCTTATACATATAAAGACAAACTATCTTAAATAAATTCCTAACATATCCAATATACCTATAAATGAATGAAAAGTAGGTGCATCCTGGGAAACAGGGTCAGTATCACATTATAAATGTAGCTTAGTGAAACTGCCATGGGAGTCATGGAGGGTTCTCAAAACATTAAAAATAGAGCTGCTCTATGATGCAGTGATTCCACTCATAGGCATTTATCTGAAAGATAACAACTTAATAATGGAACCTAAATACTCAATATTCACTACAAGTTATAAAAAATGTCCAAATGTTCCATATGGATGAATGGATCAAGAGAATATGGTATATATACACAATAGAATTTTATTCGTCCATTGGGAAGAATGAAATCATGTCATCTGCAGAGAAATTAATAGATTTGGGGACAAATCATATAAAGTGGAGTAAACCAGGTTAAGAAAGACAAAGTGCATTTTTATCTCATATATGGATCTGAAAACAAAAACATTTATGTAAACACATACAGGGTCATGTGCATATGTAATCAATAAAACTGACTAAAATCATTTATTCTAATTTTGATCCTTCTTTTTTCTTTCTTTCTTTTTTATTGTGAGAATACCATACAGAGGAGTTACAATTACATGAGCAAGACAACGAGTACATTTCTTATCAAGCATTGTTGCCTCCTCTTTGTTTCCCCTTCCCATCCCTTCCCATCCTCCCCCCCATCCTCCCCCCACACCGCACCAAAGTTCAAGATAAGTATTCAAATATTTTTTTTGTTTTTTTTCCTTTCATGCAATTGTTCTAACATATTTATAAGATGATTTCTTTGTTGCTTTGTATGTTCCTCCCCCACGTATAACTCCTGCTTTCACTGTATTTGATGTTGGTATAATTTGTGGCGGGGAGGGGAAAAAACAAACCGTTTAACTAGGGATACAGGTGGACCCATTGCAACAATGAGATGTACAAGTCGTTATGTTGAAAAACGAACTTTACAACTTTTCTTTTTTTTAAAGAAAGAAAAATGGATTCTTTGATCCTTGTATAGCCTTTATAAATGTATAATAGCATCTTGCTTTATGTTAAAGCATAGGAGCTTAGAAAGGTAAGACTTACTGACCAGGATCATTAGTGTGTTAGAGGAAAAGCCAGAACTGTTCATCTGGGTCTGTTCATCCTCTAACACTTATTAGATAGTTTTCATTCTGATTATGTACATATAGAATGTCTCAACTCATTTCTATGCACTTAGAAATATTTTTTGAAAAAACAAAACAAATTAACACAGCTGGGTACCAGTGGCCTGTAATCCCAGCTACTAAGGAGTTTGAGATCTGAGGATTGCTGTTCAAAAGCCAGCCTGGGCAGGAAAGTCCTTGAGCCACATCACCAATTAACCACCCAAAAGCTGGAAATGGAACTATGGCTCAAAGTAATAAAGCAATAGTCGTGAACACAAAAGCTCAAGGGACAACATTCAGGCCCTGAGCTCAAGCCCCAGGACCCTCGAACACACACAAAAACCTGATGAAAGTTGTAGTATATACAGGCATGACATCTCGTGATGAAAAATTGATAGTTTAACAAAGTAAGTATCAGGAAGCTACAATAGGTCTTGACTGGGAGCAGGGTGTGGAGGATGGAAGCTAATAATGCTCTTGGGGATTAAGTTAGATGAATGGAAAGGGGAATAGATGGCAAATACAGTCAAAAGACTCAATGTATACAATGAAAATGAAACTATAAAACTTGATGGGACTGATAGGGGAAAAGATCAGATGGGAAGCAGGGAGAATAATGTTTGAGAATGGAAAGGGCATGTGTAGGGGGCTGAATATGGCAAAATACTTAGTATACATCTATTAAAATAGAATAATGAAACCTGTTAATTTTTTCTGTGCTGGTCCAGGGGTTAGAACTCAAGGCCTGGGCCCTTTCCCTTAGTTTTTGTGCTCGAAAACTAGCATATTACCACTTGAGCCACATTTTCACTTCAGCTTTTGGATCCTTAAATGGATACTTGTTGTCTGGGCTGGGTTTGAATCATGATCTCTTGATATCAGCTATTTGAATAGATAAGAATGCCGATATAAGCCACCAGCAAACAGTATAAAACATTTTTTTTAATTTTTGGAAAACTTTATCCTATTTTCTGATATCATTGTGATATAACTCACATCCCGTTTTGAGGAGTTCAATTAGATTGTTAGGTTATATAACATTTTAATGCTATGTGTTTCAAATGTATTTTTCTCAATGACCCACAGGTCTAAAATGAGAATTACTCATTTTGTCTGATTTTTATAAACTATTAGAATTAGCTCCCCTAAATTTTTGCTGTAGAAATGAAGATGATTTACAGAATATCTCATTTTAAATTTATAATTTTTAAAAAGAAGAGAAGGAAAAGTGAAAGACAAACAAAAAGGCTGAATTAGAACTATAATATGCATTCACATTTAGAAATATAAACATGACCACATTTGTATAACTAATATAAACAATGAAAATTTACATAAGAAAGAAAAAGGATCTTTTAATAGAGACATTGACATTCCCTTATTTACCATGGATCATTCACATTAGCCAATTTAGGGAATCAGTCCAGGTTATTACCAGTAGATGAATTAGTGAAGACAAGTATATTTAATAGAGTTTACTCAGCCATAAAGAAATATGAAATTGTATCATTTACAAAAAAGTAGATGTGAGGAGAGATCATAAATTAAGTGAAACAATAGAGACTTGGACAAATACCACAAGCTTACTCTCATGTGGAATTTAGAAAGGAAAAAGGAATCTGAGTCTAAAAGAAACACTACTATGGATGTGGAAGGTAGTATAGGAGAGAGCAAGACAAGAAAATAAAAGGGGTGAATATAATCATGTTACATGCAAGTATGAAAATATCATAATGAAACCCAAACATATGAAAAATGCTTACAAGGGTGTAATTCTTGCATAAAATTATATACTTATTCTGTAAGACCAGTAAATGAAAATAAGGAAAGGAGCCTGTACAAACAAAATCAGTAACTAATGAAAATATAACTTTAATGAAGCAAAAAGATCCAAAATATACCTATGGGGAAAAAATCCAATTGCAAAAGTTCCTTCTGGAAATGACCATAATACCTCATCTCAAACAGAGTTGCATATAGATTTAAGTATCCGTAATTGACACATTTTAGAAACTTCCTATTTTTTACATGGCCATAAAGGTGACACTTAAACTAAGAACTCTGTATGTCACAACTAAAATCAACCACAGGGAAAAATAAATAAGTAAAAAAAAAAGCAATATTAATGATAACATAAAGAAAGGGCCTTGTATGCTGGCTTATCTATAATCCCAACTCCTCAGCTTCTCAGGAGGAAGAAATGAAGAACATTCTGTTTAGAGGCCAGTCCCATACAAACATTAGTAATACCACATGTCAAAAAAATTACCTGAGGGGGCTGGGAAGGTGGCTCAGTGGTAGAGTGCTTGCCTTGCATGCATGAGGCTCTGGGTTTGATTCCTCAGCACCACATAAACAGGAAAAGCTGGAAGTGGCACTGTGGCTCAAATGGTAGAGCACTCGCCTTCAGCTGAAGAGCTGAGGGACAGCGCCCAGGCCCAGAGTTCAAGCCTCACAACCAAACAAACAAACAAAAAAAAAACCTGGATAGGGTGCCACACAATTGTGCCCCTAGCTCTGGAGGAAGTATTAACAAGAAAGTCCTAGTCTAGGTTGGACTCAAGGGGAATCCTGAGCGAAGGGTTTGTAGCATTAAAACCTTAGAGCTAAGAAGTTGCCCTTGATGACAGCCCTTGGATACCTGGTTACTAGTAACAACATGTGACATAATTCCTTTTATGATGTTATCAAGGAGTGAGAGACTTGCAAAGTAGTGTCTGGGTCAGGTAAGCAGGGTGATTTCTGGGATAATTCAGACCTGTAAGTACTCAGAAAACTAATGGAAATACACATCAAATAATGTGGGCATATCAGGCTATTTGATCCTCTCAGCCATGTAAGACGGAGGATAGGCAGAGTCAGAGCAGAGGACCGTCTTTGACCCCTGGTAGTGTTAAAGGATCATTTGGTAATGACTATGAGAGCAAAAATATCAGGACAAAAAAACAGACAGAGGATTTAATTCATACTAGACATAGAAGCAAGCATAAAGGGGAATGTTTACCACAAACTGAAGGGATGGCAAATACTCAGGCCCTTCTCTGGTTTCAGTCTTTGAAGAATATGGGAAGGTTTCTCAAGCTGAGGCTTGGAATGAGATAGTCTGAATGTATAACCATGTTCAAATGATAGGGATGAAGATCAAAGACCTATGTGCCACTGTATTGTCTGTGTAAGGTCTGATGATCCTCTCAAAATGCCTAGATGAAACATCTGCTGCTAACATTCAACACCAAGTACATCTAGGGGTGACAAGAAAGATCCTCCTTTTTCCCCTTCTCATGGGCCCCAGGGAGGTCTGTGATGTCAACTTCAGTGCAACAGAGGACATGACTGTCACCAGGGCATGCACAAGGCGGGGTTTGCAGGCTGCTCAGAGATAGCAGGCTCAGGCTTACTGTAACTTCTTCCCTAGCTCTCAGAAAGGATGTGGTAGTCAAGACATCAGAAACTCCACAGAACCTTCTGGAGATCCCTCCTGTAATACTGCGAAGATAGCCATGACAAACACTCCACGCTGAAGGTTCACTCGCTGTATCAACATCTATCTTTCTGAGTGGCTCCGTTAACCATCTGTCCCTCAATACAGCTGTCATGTCTCTAGAGGAGAATAACCTTCGCATTGAGGAAGAACATCAAGAGAACCTGCAAACCTCCTCTGACCACAGTGTAGCACAGGCAAGAGAAGCAACAGAAGAAGAACCTCCCTGCCCTTGCTTTGTGGCTCCAGAGGAAGATCTCCAGAATTCATCTGTTCCTGAGCCAAGTAACATCCCCCAAGAGCCTTATACTATTCCAAGCCCCAGCATTAGTGTTGTAGAGTTCCTTAGCAGCCGATCTAATAAGCGTAAAAAGACCCAACAAGACAATGAGGGTCCAAGTACCTCAACAGCCACAGCCTGCACTGAAAACTCTAATGATTTTTTTGATGACAAGGTAGATTTAATGGAACATTATATTCTCTACAGGTTTGAAAGGCAACTGCCTATTTTCAAGGAAGACCTGATAAGATTTGTTGATGCTATGGATGAAGAAGAATTTGCTGAGATCCTACAGAGAACTTCTGAAAATATCGAGATTTTCTTTGGGGTAACTGTGCAAGAAGTAGATACAGACAATATCCAGTATGAACTAGTGAGCAAGCTAAAACTCCCCAATAATGGAAGGATCCATGCAGGTAACGGTTTACCCAAGACTGGCTTTGTGATGACAATACTAGGTGTAATTTTCATGATGGGTAACCATGTGACTGAGGAAGATCTTTGGAAATTTTTAAAACAAATGCATGTACGCCCAGGAAAGAGACACTATGTGTTTGGGGAGCCCCACAAGCTTGTTAGCGAAGATTTGGTGACCTTACAGTACCTGGAGTACCGACAAATACCTGACAGTGATCCTCCGTGCTATGAATTTTTGTGGGGACCAAAGGCTTATAGGGAAACTAACAAAATGGAAGTGCTAGAATTTTTAGCCAAGGTTAGTAAAAATGATCCTAGAAAATTTTCAACTCATTATGAAGAAGCTTTAAAAGACATAGAAGAGAGAGCCGAAGCAAATAAGAAAACCCAGGACGAAGAGTAATGCTATGGACAACTTTGTTACTTGACCATGTCCAGCAGCCTCTCTGCAACTCCTATTGTCTTAAGTGTTTTCTCTAGATGATAACATGTAGCATCATTAAAAAGGTATTCTTGAAAATGCCTAACATCTCACAATAATAGTTAGGATCATGCAATAATACAAATAAACTTAAAAACTCTTAGGTCTTAGTTTTGATCATTTCTTTCTGTTAATTCTAAAGTATTGTGAAAATATGTGTACTTTGTATAGCTTTGATTATGAAAAAGGAGAAAAGTAAATCTTTGTAATTTAAAGATTATATCACTAATTATTATATCTTTACAATTTGAAGACTTGCTAATTGAGCCGCATTCTCCCAGACATCATATAAGAACCTCATCTTTGTAAGGATCAAATTCTGGGGATGATAGATACATTTCCAAATTCTTCCCATAGATTTTTTTAAAAAAATTATTGTGAAGTTGCTGTACAGAGGGGTTACAGTCACGTAAGTTAGGTACATTTCTTTTTGAACAGTGTCACCACCTCCTCCCTTGTTTTTTCCCCCAGTTTTTTCCCTCCTTCATACTCTCCCACCAAGTTGTACAGTTCCATTTCCAACATAGTCCCATTTCCAACATGGTGTCTAGTGAGTATCACTACCAAATTAATTCATTTTGTCCCACCATTTCTGTGCTTCTCCTTCCCCTCCCCAAATCAAATGAATTTACGTACAAGACAAGGGGTACAAAAATCAAAAGCAGTGACAAAAGGACAAAAAATAGAAGGGAAACAAGAACTGTGAACAGGGAGCAGGTGGCTTATGCTTGTAATTCTAGCTACTCAGAAGGCTGAGACCTGAAGATCAAGATTCAAAGCCTGCCCAGGCAGGAAAGTCCAAGAGACTTTTATCTCCAATCAGCCACAAGAAACCCACAAGTAGTACTGTCGCTTAAGTGGTAGAGGGCTCTCCTTGAGCTGAAGTGCTCAGGGACAGTGCCCAGGCCCAGAGTTCAAGCCCCACGACTGACCAAAACCGCCCCCCCAAACCTCTTTTTTCCAAAATGAACTCCAGTTCATTTTGATAATTATCATTTTATATGATCATATGACCATAACTACTAAGCCTTTGTGATCTTCTTCTAAGAATATCCTCCTTTGGTCTCATTTTGTGAATGTTTAAAGTCTTGTTTAATTAACCATGTCCCCTCCACAAACAAATGTGAAAGAGTATTTAGATAGGGGAATACTTATCTATGATTTAAAACTTCTGATGAAAAGTTCCATAGATTTTTTAAATTTTTTTATTGTGAAAATACCGTACAGAGGGGTTACAACTACATGGGCAAGGTAATGAGTGCATTTCTTATCAAGCATTGTTGCCTCATCCTTTGTTTCCCCTTCCCATCCCTTCCCATCTTCCCCCCCCCCCCACCCCCCACCCCCGCCCCGCCCCGGTGCCAAAGTTGTAATGTTCGTTTTTCGACATGATATCTTGTACATTTCATGGTTGGAATGGGTCCAACTCTATCCCTATTTAAACAATTTGTTTTTTCCCGTCTCCTCCACAAATTATACCAACATCAAATACAGTGAAAACAGGGGTTATACCGTGGGGGTGGGACATACAAAGCAACGAAGAAATACCTTTAAATATGTTGAAACTCAAGATGGGTACTAGGGGTTCAGGCTTATAATCTTAGCTACTTGGGAGACTGATATCTGAGGATTCCAGTTAAAAAGCTAACCTGAGCAAAAAGCTCATAAGACTCTTATGGACTTTCCAAATAAACACCAAAAAGTAGAATGTGGCTCAAGTGCTACAGCCTTTAGCCAAACCAACAAACAAAACGTTCAGGGACAACACTCAGGACCAATACACGCACAGAAACACACATACACACACACACGCACACACACACACACACACACACACACACAAATGATTAGAAACTGGCTGCCTGGTACAACCATATGAAGAATAGGTTAATACATGTGCTATGACATAACAGGTTGCAGAGGGGAAAATGCCTAAAGCACCAAAATCAAGTTAGTTTGAAATTCTGAAAACTGCAATTCCAGCAATGTGATATAATTATATAAATAAACATCATGGTTGGCTATAAAGGCTGTGGAACAAGGAAGGGGCCAGATCCTCTGATGATAGAGGTCATTATTGAAGAGAAGAAACTTAAATGGAAAACTGCAGTGTATTGGTATGACAAAACTTAAGATACAAAATTATGAAGTGTCATGACATTTGGAGAAACTCAAATGTTCTTCCTGTAAGTTCCCTGCTAGACTGTATTTCCAGATCTACTTCTCTCAGAACCATCTGTATCAAATGGACCAGGCTAAGATCTGCCATATTCCCAAGTATCAGGTTTCAATCTCTTCCAACATTCTGAATTATTCAAGCAAGCAAATTACATCCTCTCCAGGGCAATAGAACTTGCTTTCCCTTGATGAACAAGCCTTCCACCCAGAAGATTCTCCTTATTTCCTATGGCCCTTGAAGGCTTGTCGCCCTCAATAGCTTGTAATAATTTTTCCATTCCAACTGTGGAAATAGGAGTACATATAAATAATTATTGGTAATATTGATTTTATCTTTAAAATATCTAGTATCGCCTGCTTAGTTATCCACACAAATATACTGCAGAAGATCAATAGAAAGCCCACAGATTGGGAGATCTTCACTAGATACACAACAGACAAGGGCTTCATATCTAAAGTATACTTAGAACTCAAAAAATTAACCCCCCCAATAAAAATCCTCAAACAACCACCCCATTAATAAGTGGGCTAAAGAATTAAAAAGAGGCTTCTCTGGAGAGGAAATAAAAATAGCTAACAGACACATGAAGAAAATGGTCAGCATCTCTGGTCATAAAAGAAAGGTAAGTCAAAACCATATCGAGATTCCACCTCACCCCAGTTAGAATGGCCATTATCAAGAAAACAAATAATAGTAGATGCTGGTGGGGATATGGACAAAATGGAAGTCTACTACACTGTTGGTGAGATTGTAAATTGGTTCAACCACTCTGGAAACCAGTCTGAGATACCTCAAAAGACTAAATATAGAACTTTTCTACTCCTGGGCATTTACCCAAACAAACACAAACAAGGCCCCATGAAAGCTCCTAGCACAACTATGATCATTGCAGCATTATTTACCATAGCTAAGCTATAGAATCAACCAAGATGCCCCTCAGTAAGTGAATGAATTGAAAAAATGTGATATATATACACAATGAAATTCTATGCTTCCATCAAAAAGAGTGGCATTGCCCCATTTGTGAGGATCCATGGTTTCCCTCAATTGTAATAATTTGTATACGCTTAGGATAGTCCTAGCAGAGGATCACAATGTCCCAATAGCTATGTATACAAGACCATATAAAATACTAAATTGAAACGAACTCTGACATAGAAACAAGAGGTTTTTTTGGTGGTTGTTTGTTTTTCTTTTCTTCTTTTTTAGTGTACTGTTTACAGTTATTGCTTTTGTCTCACTTATTTTTTCTCCTCTGGGTTACTACCTGTAGTCACTGTTTCTGATTTTGGTACTTTTTGTCTTGTATATGTTTATCTGATTTGGGGAAGGGAAGGGAAATCACAGAAATGGTGAGACAATGTGACAATGATACTCACTAGACACTATTTTGGGGAAATGAACTATACAACTTGGGGGAAGGGGAGTCAAGGGGGAGGGAAAATGGGAGAAAACCAGGGAGGGATTAACACTTCAAAAACTATACTCATAACCGTACTTATGTAACTGTAATGACTCTGTCTATCATCTTTACAATAAAATAAAACTATAAAAAAACCAAAACAAGTATACTGCAGAGATTCCTCATCTACAAATGGACTTTTAGGCCATGTAGCATGTTTTTTGTTTGCATGTGCTGGTCCTGGGTCTTGAATTTAGGGCCTGGGGGCTATCTCTAAGCTATCTTTCTTAAGGCTAGTGCTTTATAACTTAAGCCACAGTTCCACTTCCAGGTTGAAGTGATGAATTGGAGATAAG